TTTTTTATGATAAAATGATGTTTTTCTTATAACAAATAATTTTCCTACTAGTGTAGACGATTAAAAAAAGAAAATGTTTGTCCGAATTAACCCCTGCAACCGTTAAACATCGGTTTTACGTGGCTTTATATGGCCGTCCGAAGCCAACCCACTCGATGGGGTGACTTCGGACAGTTTTTAATAAAAAAAATATAATAACTGGAAAAAAATTAGAAACATTTATTTTGACATTGTGAAAATGTAACTAGATGTTAGGGGCATCTTAGCCGAAATTTGCAGAATTTTAGTTCTCTTCGTTTTTAGTTTGTGATTAAGAAAGTTGCAAAAAGTGTCCGAAGTCACCCCGTTTGACGGTAGTTTACGTCATATAGGAGATGTAGTTTGCGTATTGTTGGTTGTCTATCCAAAATACAGTTTACCACAAGACACCGGTTAGATTAGACCTCAATAGCCACTCCCATTTAATTTTAAGTTCCAAAGTGACACCACGATCAGACAACAACAAACAATACGGCTCGACTACATTCAATGCTAATAAATAAATTAAACTATGTACACCTAAAACTACCTTATAACTAATTTAGCAAATGTGTTTTAAAAGTGTTCCTCAAATGCCTATTAAAATGAAAGTTTATAGTTTTGTTTTTGAACCAGTCCAGTTCGATGTTAGTTCCGTATTTCGAATAGTGACAAACTCGTGCAAGAATATGTTTAACTGTTTTTATGAATTTTATGCATATTATGACTCGGCGAGTCCAAAGAGTAAGTAACTTCAGCACTTAGTGTACACTTGTCAAATTATTATTTATGTCAATTACCTTGTAAAAATGGTAGCTAGAATACCTTTTATAGCTCAATATCTTAACTCAGGGCTCCTTTAATCCAGTTTCTTTAATCCAATTTAAATGTAATCTGCTTTTTACTTCTTTATCCAAAATTTTTGATGTCTGTCTATATTTTTGATTTATTATTTTTCTCTGGTAACAAATTGTCATTCATTAAGCTAATTTTTCATACCTAAGTTAGATTTTTCCTTGTAGATATCACTTTATTTTATTCACTGTTTGTTTTCTTTAACTATAAACGTTTAAACTTTAGCTTATAACTATTTTACAAATTTTCTCTTTTATTGATCACATCATCATTATTATTATTAATTAAAATTAATTAAATTAGATTTAAAAATTTGTGTATTTATAACTATTTTGAAATTAATAAAATAGAAAATATGCTTTTGTTTTTCTTTTCCTTTACAGGTTTTATCCGAATTAATTTAAAATAAATTATATAATATTAATAATAGCAATAATAATAGTGTTGAGAAAAATTGTATTTTTAATTAAAACACATATACCTATAGGTAGGTAGGTAAGGTACCTACCTAAGTACTTAGCATAAGTAATTATAAACAACAAGTTATTTCTTTAATCTGGTGCGTAACAATGTAATTAAAAAAACCCTTAAGATGGTTGGTAAATAATATAAATGAATTCTTAATATTGAAGTAAACACAATGGGTTCTATAAGGATTATTGGTTGGGGTTCGGCTCTGGGGATAGGGCATTTAGGATCGAAATATTAAAACTAAACTTGGTATATGGATGTATTATCCCATAAAAATAAAAATCGCTTTAAAAAAATTCACCCCTCCCCGCCCCTATCTGATATGGTGAGGGTGGCATCCCCAAAAAATTAAGTTAGAACTTTTTAAATAAAACATTTAAAGTTTACGATTTTTATACATAAAAACCCAAAGATACAATTTTTTTGAAAAAAATTTTCCAAATTTTTTTTGAACTTAAAAAATATTTCGACTTTAATCTTCATAGTTCGGATGTGGGGGCTGGCATTTAAAAACAGTTACAGACGACATAAAAATCTTATTTTTGACATATTTAAAATAAAAATAATTTGCAACATTTTTGTATAAAAATCTTACCACCACCATCCCCTAGAGGGAGATAGAGGAGTGGCATCCCCAAAAAATCAATTTAGAACTTTAAAAAAAAAAAAACAATTAAACTCTACGATTTTTTTTACATACAAACCCAAAATTTCAATTTTTGTGACATTTTTACAAATGAAATTAATGTCAACAAATTTATTTAAGATCATGTATAAAATTATTCATTATTAAAGACACCTTTTATAACCACTATTGCATATTCAAAAAAAGCTTTAAATAAAAGTTTGTGGATATGACTGACTTTTTTTAAATATAAATAAATATAAAAACACGTATTCAGATTTCACGGAATACAACACAAATAAACTTTTTTAAATGGGATACCCTCTATGTTATTAAATTTCTGGGATATATTTTTTTTCTAATTTCACAAATGTATATTATTGATAACCCTATCTTATACGTCTGTTCTCGAGTAATTTAACGTTGATAATGTAAATATAAAAAAGTTAACATTATTAAAGTAAAAGTTATGAAAATCACAACTATTATGTTTGATAATAAAATAGTCCAAATATAGGTAGTAAGGAAGAAAAAGTGTAAATATTTATAAGATATTTGACGTTTAATTAATCAGGAAAGAATACAAATCATTCCGAAAATTGAATAAAATATATATGTATGCTATCCCTATTAAAAAATATTCATGTTAAATCCTGTGAAATATGCACGCCACTGATATGGTCATTTGATGACATTTTTACAAAATTCGGTCAATCTAAATATTATACAATAATAATTATGGCATAAAGGGAGGGTAATTTATAATAAATAACCTTGTTAGGTACCTAATAATTTTCAGTCAAAAAAATTTAATTCGCACTTTTTTACGTAGATTAAAGAAAAATGTAATTTCGTGTTTTCTTGGTGCAGACATTTTGCGAGACACTGTATATTCAAATCCAAAATGATGTATTTTCTTTTAACACATACCTAATACAAATTTATTAGCAAAATTTAAATACTTGTTATTTTCGGTATATTTCTCCTTTAGACACACACATTTTTAGTTTCATTGTCAAAAGATTTAAATAAAATTACCGGACCTTATAATATTCTATTATAATTTGATGATCCCAAGCCATAGCAAAAAGACGAAATTTGAGCATGAAGATTTAGATGTCATTAACGTAAAATTAATGTTTTGAAATTAATTTAAGTTTTACCAATTTAGAAAATAAAATTAATAAAAAAAAAATTAAATAAAAATTAAAAAAAAGTGTCTACTCGTGGGTTTGAACTCGGAACCTTTCGATTCATAGTCGAGTACTCTAAATATTCGTTATAGAGGCTTACGAGAAAGTTTTACTTTTTAAGGCTGATAATCAGGTTGCTTTTAGTTTTATTAAAATCTCAGTTTATTTTTAAATATAGACGAATATCTTGTGGAATGCTATTATTTATTGATTCTTCACAAGAATCACTAATTTTTAATTATATTTAATCCTAATAACTAACAAAATATATAAATTGTCACTTATAAAGTTCTAACATCTGACGTAGAGGGCGTATCTAACCAGTAAATAAAATCGTTAGTTCAATGATTGTACCAATATATGTCGGACGCGATTGTCTCCAATAACTTTTACATGGTGATTATCCTACTATAGTTCTTTATACAATGATTTGAGATTGTAAAAGGTAGAAATTAAAATTTTACTATATTTGCTTAACATTTTGCGCAAATCGTCCTTCGCCTGGTACCAAGCAAACGAATGACCGTGCCAACTTTTCAAATTTATTCTTTTTTGTGTTCATGCATATTACACACATAACATATACCGGGTGTTCAAATTAAAGTGTTACAGTTAAATGCCGTCTTTTATAAAAAAACGTTTCAGATGAAAGTTTTATGGTTTTTTTGGGGAAAACATTTTGGCTAAAATCGTTTTTTATAGCTAACCATAATATGGCCAACTTTTTTTTCGCGTAGCAAAATTTTTAAGTAGGTGTTACTCAATAAGTAAAAGTCTAATAAAAAAATGTTTCCTTTAAATATTATATTTAATTATTAGAAATAGTAGTAGTCGGTTGTCAATTTTCGAATTGTCTCTCAATCTTCTCTAGAATTAATTCTAAAAAAGTTGCAACATAAACGTTACCGGTTGTGAGTTTATCGGCATATTTTATTTTCTGTATATCTGGTCAAGCCAACGCAAACATGAACATCCATGCCATTACGATGATGACTGGTGGAATTTATAACATGAACCAGATGCGTCATTTCCGGGCGACAAATTGCAATTGAAAGCGACTGAAAAACGACGCTCGAGGAAATATCTACCGTGGAGTTGTATTTAAAATGGGGGAAAAGTCAGCAGTTTCCCACAGATTCAATCATTTTTTTTTATTTTATAAATCCGATAATTTCTACTCGCTTTACAAAATAATACAGTTCTTTTTTCAACTATAATTTATTTATTCTTTGTGAAGCAAAATTATGGAAATTAAAGAATGATAAGAGCTGTAACTCAGTTATCATATCCGAGAAGAGTTGTTAATATTTGTAATAAATAATTATTTATTGCTATATCAAAAAAAAAGTTGAATCATATATTGTTACTATTAAATCACCTTGTATAAAAATTAAACAAAGGCTCGGACGAATTGGAAAAGAATGAGAATTGAAGAGAACAAAAGCAAATTATATAGACTTACACAATAGCTACAAAGAAAAAGAAAAATAAAAAATGAGTCAATCAACAAAAATACTTGAGAGCACATATAGCTGATATTTAAACATATCATATTTTTTATATCATATTCTATTTGTACTTTTAATCTTTAATGTTAATTTCCATGTTTAATTAAGTAGATTTTGTATAGCTTTTGTTGAGTAAAGACGGATGTTATTTTAATCAATAAAATTGTTTTTAAAAACCCTATATTAGTTTCAAAATACTTATTTTGAAAGACCTCACAGATATTCACATCACTGATTACTCGTTATCACGAAAATCAAATTAACAGGTCATACGGCAATTTTTTGCTGTGTAACTAATTTAAAATGACAGTTATTAAAATAAGTGCTATATTAATTGTTACATACCTGCAAATATAGAACAATCTTGCACAAAACTGTTCCGAACCACCACGTCAGGGTCACGTCCCAAATCACAGACGGTGGCAGACAAAACAGAATCACCAAAAAGTCAGCTGCTGCCAAATTCACTATGAAATAATTGGTAACTGTTCTCATAGTGTGATTTCTATAAACCGCCACGCACACTAGACAGTTGCCTACTATACCAATCACGAAGACGACGCAGTGACAAAATATAAGTATCCACGTCCAGGTGGTTGGACAGATGAGCTCTAAAAAGATTTCTCTCATGACTTCTAGAGATGCATTGCTGTTGTTCTGAGATAAATCTGTAATAAATAAATAAAAAAGATTTAAATGATATAATACTATCAGGTTTAGGTTGGTTGCATTGGATATGCTCTTTTTATTTGTATTTGATATTCTTGAAGTCTTCAGAAAGGTTTTTTTTTTTAATTCCCATGTAAACTAACTTTAAACGGAATATACAGCTTTTCAATGATTATTATATATTCTAAGTATTTTAATTTATTTTAAAAGTATTGAATGTTGATTTTAAAGTATACATTTAGAATGCGCTGTTGTAAAATATTCACCCAACTGTAAAAATTACCCGATATTATTTTTATATAACCCATTTTTGGTACATATAAACAAAACACTAGTTTAGTTAAGGAATACCGAGGAAAAAGTTCAGATTTATGAAAATTCGCTACTATTTTGGATTTTCATTTGCAAATCACGAAGAAATTGACGATTTTTATTTTTTCGAACTGTATGAAATTAAACCTGAATCTAAATAACTAGAACAAACTTTTATATGAGTACATAATAGTAAATTCAAAATTTCTTTCTAAAATTTGGGCGTAGATATTTTACATAAAACAAGAAAAGCATGCTAATCATTTCATTCTAATTTTAATAGTTTAATATATTAAACTCGGTCTTTAATATTTTTTTTTGTAAATGAAATTTTAAGTAGTTAGATTGAGATTTATATTAGATTAATATTGTTCGTAAATTTAAAAATATAGCCATAAAAAAACGACAAATAGCAAAATGGAAGAACATGAAAATAAAAATTTTTCAGTTTGTCACATTATTTCGACTTCATAATATACCATTTTGTAGAGTTCAATGAAAAAAGTTCAATGCCGCAAAGTGAATACCCATACCTTAAATGGTTGTCCAAATATTTAGAAATTTCTACACTAAAAACTAAACAAAAATTGGAGCCAAAATCCTATTCTAGCCTTAATAATAATGCTATTGTACTTGCGCAGAATTTTTATAATAATATAATAATAATACTAAATAAACTTTATTCACCAATTTTCAAAAAAAATAAAATTACAATCTGAAGAGCATAACAATTATTGGTGAAAAGGTGCAAGATCAGTATGAAACTGTTCTTCCTCTTGAACCTATGAATAATAATATTAAAAAAATAATAATAACAATAATAATAAAATAAGAAAAGGTAAAAAACAATACAATGTCAGTATTTGTATATAAGAAGAAAGAAACGCATTACAATATAAATATAAAAGCGGAAAAAACAAAAAAAATACTTTGGCACTCGGGGACTGCCACGGTAAAGCTATTGCATAGCATTTTTTATATTAATTCAAGTTTTTTCTTTGATATTAATTGAAGTTACACTTTTTGAGCGTGGTGACCGATAAGCAAAATTTTTTTTTCTTCTATTGAATAAATGAGAAGTTAATATTGTTTAAAATATTTGTATTATCTTACAATACATGTAGGTTATTCAGGAATTTTTATCATTGAAACCATAGTTTTATGGTAACTGGTAAAATTGGAAGAAAAAACTTACCCTGAATTATTTCCAACAAATCGCTAACATTTTCGGATTTAAGCATCTCCAGGGTTTGTTTGAAATTTTCCTCCTTCGAATCTGTCATGTTTGTATTCGCTGGATTGTCGAGCGTAATCTCTGGATATGCTTTCGTCAGTTGAAAAAATAATAGGACCAATAAAACTTGGGAAAAATTTGCCAGAAACATCATTGAGTTTTCCCGAATCAATTCAATTCAATTTCGTGATATTTGTGACCGGAGTTGTTCCATATTTTTCCTATCTGTAACAAAGATTTATTATTATACAGTGTGTCTACTTATGAATGATCATTATTTTAAGAGGTTTTCATTAAACAATTATTGGTGACGTTGTTGTAATAACAAAAATAAAAAAAATACTGCCTTCTTGGTAATCTGATCCATGTTTAATTGTTTTCATTAAGGTATATTATTATAGAATTTCTGATGAGATATTTGCCAAATAATAAAAATAATAAAATAACACAGAAATGGAGGAAATTGTTATTTTTACTGTTTATTAAACTTAAACATTTGGCGACAAAGTCAATATTATAAATGTTGCTGACAGTTTCGTTTGTCATTTTAAATAATATTTTCCAAATAAAAATTTATAGTCAGCTTTTAAAATATATTATTCAATGACTGTTATTTATAATATGAGATGTAATATATTAGTTAGAATTTAAATATATACAGGGTGTCTGTAAAAGGTCTTTACAAAAACATACCACATATTCCTTAGACCAAAATAAGTCGATTTAAGTAAAATTACCTTCGTACAAAGTTGCTTCGTTTGGGCTCCAGAGGGCCTTGAAGTTACAATTTTTAAATCGTTTTTCCCATATAAATTTAAAACGGCATATGCGATTTTACTGAAATTTGGTATATTGGTAGAGTTTTATGTTGCAAAAAAAAACGGTATTAAAATTTTGTCCGATAATAATACATAGACGTAGAACTTGATTTTTTAAATAATTGCACCTTTAAAAATTCTACGCCAATGGAAGAAAAGGAGTTTGCGTATGAAATTTAGATAGCGCAACTCATTTACTTTAAAAAAGGTACTCTTGATAAGACTCGATTACTCTCATGGTTTTGACGAAATTTGCATTTTAGTAATTTTAAAACAAACAATAATTATTAAAATACAAACTTTGTCAAAACCATGAGAGTAAATCGAGTGTTATCAAGGGTACTTTTTTGTAGTAAATGAGTACTCAATCCAAATTTTATACTCAAACCCCTTTTTTGCCATTGGCGTAGAATTTTTAAAGGTGCAATTATTTAAAAAATCAAGTTCTACGCCTATGTATTATTATCGGACAAAATTTTATACGATAAAAAACATAAAAATGTACTTTTTTCATATCTTCTTCAACATCTCTAATCGAGACTTTTAACAAAAATACTCGATTCTTGCCATGTACGATTTTTTGAGGAATATTAATTATTTGCCTGCAATACGTATACAAAAACATTTATTGTTGGTTTCCATAGTTTCATCTAAATAAAAATATTGTCAAGTTTTAACACCTAATCTCTTGTTAACGATTGAAAGTGTTCTATCAATAATTAAAAAAACAAATGGGTGTTTTATTAATATGGCTATACAATATACCAATGCAGAATATACCGATATGTTACTGACATTAGGATTGTGTGAAGGAAATGCTCGAGAGAGTGTCAGGATGTACTCTGAAAGGTTTCCAAATCGTCGTGTACCTAGCCACCCAACTTTTGCTGCTGTTGGGAGACGTCTTCGGGAGACCGGTTCCTTTGCTCCCAACACTGTTGATAATGGAAGAGAACGTTTTGTAAGGATTCCTGAAGTTGAAGAAGACATTTTAGAACGTGTTGAAGAAGATCCAGAATTAAGCACCAGACGAATTGGAAGGGAACTAGGAGTAAGCAAAGATGTCGTTCATAAAATGCTTAGAGAACAATTGCTATATCCATACCATAAGAAGCCAGTAAAAGAATTATTAGTCCATGATCCTCAAATTCGTTTGGGTTTTTGTCGATTTGTTAATATGCAAAGAGAAAGAGATCCAAACTTTGTCAAGAAGGTTCTCTTTACCGATGAAGCGGGTTTTACAAGAAGAGGTATAACTAATATCCATAATGAACATGTTTATGCCGTTGAAAATCCGCATGCAATAAAGGTAAACCATTTTCAGCACGAATTCAAAATTAATGTGTAAGCTGGAATAATTGGTAATTTCATTGTTGGTCCTGTCATACTTCCACGAAGATTAACTGGAGAAAATTATTTGGATTTTCTACAAAATACGTTGCCAGAATTGTTAGATTTACCTCTCCAACTTCGAAGATAGATATGTGGTTTATGCAAGATGGAGCTCCACCACATTTTTTTTAAACGTTAGAAACCACTTGAATGAACAATATCCACACAAATGAATAGGCAGAGGTAATGACGCACCTGTAAACTGGCCACCACGTTCCCCAGACCTAACACCGATGGATTACTTTTTATGGGGACATCTGTAATCCACAGTTTACAGGGAACCTGTAGAAAATTAGGAACAACTCTGGCAACGTATTCAAGATGCAATAAACAATCTTAGAGGTGATGAAGAAGTTATGGAAAGGATACATTTTAATTTTCTTCGACGTATAAATCTTTGTATGCGTGAAAATGGTGAACATTTTAAACAATTTTTGTAAAATCTCTATTTTGATTATGTTGTAAATAAATATTTTTGTGAAACCTATACACTCTAAATTATTAAAACAGAAATTTAGCGAAAACCATGAAAGTGATCGAGTCTTATCAAGAGTACCTTTTTTAAAGTAAATGAGTTGCGCAATCTAAATTTCATACTTAAACTTCTTTTCTTCCATTGGCGTAGAATTTTTAAAGGTGCAATTATTTAAAAAATCAAGTTTTACGCCTATGTATTATTATCATCGGACAAAATTTTTTTGCCACATAAAACTCTACCAATATACCAAATTTCACCAAATCGCATATGCCGTTTTAAATTTATATGGAAAAAACGATTTAAAAATTGTGACTTCAAGACCCTCTGGAGCCCAAACGAAGCAACTTTGTACTAAGGTAATTTTACTTAAATCGACTTATTTTGGTCTAAGGAATATGTGGTATGTTTTTGTAAAGACCTTTTACAAACACCCTGTATAATAATATTTTTGTTTCTATCAACGCACTGACTAATCCGTATAATGCAAGCATCGATGCTATTTCGCTTTTTCTAATGCATGTGCGATCGCCAGGAGTTGTTCACACTAATACAGGTAAAGACGGTCCGAAAGTTTTATATTGCCTAGGCTGTATACAGATTTGGAAATAAAATATCTACAGTATTACGGATCGATGTAAGCAGACGGGAACGCATCATATATCTAGCGACATGGAGGTGGGATATTAAAGGAAATGCTATGTTCACTTAAACATGTATTCTGAAAGTGACATCGGTGGGCGGGATTACGAGGACGTAAGGGAATAGAATATACTTTATTTGCTTAAATAAACTCACAGCAGTTTTTAGCATCGTCAAATATCAGAAAACAATAAAATTTATGTATACATTACATTTTACAATTATATAGAAAAGAATTTGGTGACGTCAACTTGACATTTTAGTTAAGAAATTTTTCGTGTTGCAAAATTACTTAAATCAGCCTCATAAAATTCTTTGATTGAATAAACTGCTAGATAAAATAATAATTCCTTGATCTTTTTTTTGAATTTATATTCATTAAAAAGCTTAAACTGTGGGGGAAGTTTATTATACAGTTTAATAGAGTTGCATATAAAGCTTTTATCTGTTAATGTTAGTCGGTGTTGTGGTAATAACAATTGTTCTCTTGACCGAGTGTTGTGCTCATGGGTATCTCCTAGTAGTATAGGATTTATTTTATTTGTTTTTACATATAATAAACATTCTAATATATAAAGAGATGGGAGTGTCAATATTTTTTGTTCCTTGAATAATGGCCTATATGACTCTAGATGAGGCCTTTTTGTTATTGCACGTATTGCCGCTTTTTGTAATATGAATATTTTTTGCCAGTCTACAGAATTTCCCCATAGCAGTATCCCATATGACAGATGGCTATGAAAAAGGCCCATATAGGCCGTTCTACAGACTTCGTTTGTAGTGTACCATGTTAATTTTCTGATTAAAAACAGGGTGCTAGATAGTTTTTTTGATAGACTCTCTATATGCTGTTTCCAATCAAGTTTATTATCTAATGTTAAACTTAAGAATTTTGTTGATTTAGTTTGCTGAGGTATATCTCTGAGTGAAAACAACATTTTGACTCTTTTGTCAGTATTCAGTAAAAGATTATTACTAAAGAACCATAAGTTAGACAAGGCAAGAGCTCCAGCATCAAGAGTTTCTAGCTCGGCTTTGTCCTTGTTACAGTGATAATAAGTAGTGTCGTCTGCATACTGAACGGAAAAAGTATGCTTCAGATAGTAAGGTAGGTCATTCACGTATAGTATAAAGAGGGTTGGCCCAAGAATTGAGCCTTGGGGTACTCCAGCATGAACTTTTTGAGTTTCTGAAGTATTGTTTCCAATTTGTACAAATTGACAACGGTCTTTCAAGTACTGTGTTAGGAGATCAAGAAACTTGCTAAAAGCATCTGTGTATCCTCAAAAGCACTGACAATATCAGTCACCAGCTTTGTGATAGCATTTATTGTTGAGGACTTGTTTTTAAAACCAAATTGTTGGTCACTCAGAAGATTGAATTTGTTAAGGTATGCAAAAAGTCTATTGTTAAAAGCTTTTTCAATAGGCTTTGATAGTATAGGCTTGTAGTTTTCTGGAAGGTTTTCATTTCCTTTTTTTTTTTGTATATAGGAGAAACTTTTGAAGTCTTTAAATCCTGAGGAAATGTGCCGTCAGTAAAACATTTATTTATAATCACGATGAGTGGATCATATATACCGTCTGCTAATAATTTAAGAATTTTATTGCTAATACCAAACACATCCAATGTTGTGCTATTGGATAATTCATTAACAATATCTTTTAATTCCTCCCTATTTACCGGATATAGAAAAAAAGTATTGTTATTCCAAACATGCTTTTTCAGTGAGTCTAAGGGCTCCCTATTTGAGATAGGTGCCTGTAACAAATTTGTGATATTATTAGAGAGATTGAGGTAAAAATTATTAAGATCACTAGGGTTAAGTTTAGTGTTATTTGATTTTTTTTAATCTTTTTTATTTGGTTTTATGAGTTGCCATATACTTCTGGACCTATTC